AGTGATGTGTCAACTGCGCTTTTTTCAAAGCTCAGTAATAGTATTTTGCAGCAAAAAGTTTGTTGGTTTCTGAATTTTTATTTGCAAAATATAATTTCTGTCAGTTGTACTTTTTGGGGTATAAAAATGTGTAAAAATACAATTCATAAAATACTCTATGCAAATCTATGTACAAATCAGTAGTAATAAAAAACTTAATGACTCGAGATCCACACAGCAGGGGCAGTAGGGCTAAACATTCACAAGTTGAGGCTGACCGAAAAACCTTAGCAACTCTCCAGTTGGTAGCATAATACGTCCCTCGCGCGAGTTCGCATCGCAGGGACGAGTTCTCAGCAGCCAAAATTCTCCATTTCCAGAAATTGTCCCGGTGCTGTCACAAGGTTTTATACCAGATGGATCTTTTAATTGTAGAGTGGAAGTTTTTTGATATGAGGGTTGAAGACGTTTGAACTCGTCTACAGAGAGGTCTCTCTGAGGTTGTTGTGCTGGTTGTCGTGCTCCTTCTCCACCGCTGGACGAGTTTTCACTTGTGCCATCCCCTCCAGTATAAACATAAGCTCCTATATTACCTTCTTTGATGAAGTAACTTGATCCTGAAGATTTTTTCTTTTCTTCTTCTTCATTTTTATTCTGATCCTTTTCTGAATAGACGACAGCTGCCATATCTCCCTTCTGTAAATAATGTGCTGAGTCCGCTTGTGGCAGTTGTCCGTCACTACCAGCACCTACAGGCTTGGTATCATAAGTATTCCACGTGCTGTCTCTTCCCGTTGGACGATCCTTCTGATCCCTACGTTGGGAATAATACCACTTACTGTAGTCGGTGTCATCTTCCTTATTATATCTATCTTTCTCCTTTTCATGATCCATAAGCACAGCCTTAGCCAGCAATTCACGATGATTATCCTGATAATCAGGGGCTTTTGGGAATTTTCTCACTTTTACCAATGTTTTTTCGCCTGTCTTTCGGTTCTCTTCAACCTTAACAGCAGGAATAGACTCGGATGAGGTTTCAAAAGGTTTCGAAAGGGGCCTATAGTGCCATGCACCATTGTCATAAACCCATGTTCCAGAATCGTAAACAGGAGCTACGAAGTCTGGAGTGATTTGAGATGCTTCCACTGCACCACGCGGCTCAAATTCCCACTTATCATTTCGGAAGATCCATGTGCCACCGTGACCTTCAACACGATTTTCAAGGGTTATTTGTACTTTCTTACCGGGCGAAGATGTCCCATAGGGTTTTGGGTCATAACTTTGAAATTTCGGGACTGGTTGTTGAATTTCGGATTTGTGAGGAT